GTGGTTGTTATCGACAGAAGCTCGGAGCTGTCCCGCTTTGCAGCGCGCTTGGAGCGCATCCCGTGCTGCCCTTAGCCGCGGCCCACGGCGGCACAGGTGGATGGATCTGCAAGCTAAAGGTTAATGGCTTCAGGAGAGAGGGGTTCTGGGGCCAGCAAGCAGCAGTGAATGGAGAGCCCCCAGGGACAGCTGCCTGCCTGAGCTTGCTGTGCCTCCTGTCTGCAGGGCACCTTTGAAGTCACATCTCAGAACAGACCGAGCCTCCTGGGGTGATCAGGGTCAACTGGAATGCCTTCAAACAGAGGCAGGGCTGACAAAGCCCTGCCTGCTGCTATCCACATCCCTACAAAAGGATTTAAAATCTGAGGCGCCCAGTGCTCACACAGCCCTAGCCCACAGCTGGGATGGGAAACAGGCACCTTGCCAGGAGCCCAGGTCTGCAGGTAGCAGAGCATTTTACAGATCCTCGCACCACAGCTGTCACAATCCTGCTGGACACTGGGGCCAAATGCTACTTTGTCCCCAAATCGCAGCCCTGCATGGGAGATTTGAGGTTGTCTGGGCTGAGACAGTGGCATGTGGGCATTGTTAGCAGCAGGTTTCACAGTCGCTCTCCTCCCTTGTACCAAATAAATAGACCTCATGAGGGTGTAATGCACCCTAGCACTTTAATCCTCCTGGGGATAAAGTGGATTACAATGCTATTTGACTGGCCACTGACAGAGCCAAACTGTTATAACAGGATTCAAATCCCTAAGTCAGAGCAGATTTGCTTGTTGCTTTAAAAACTCGCTGGAAGACAGCTTGGACCCATAAACCATGTTACAACCCTTTTAGAATATTAAGATTGAACTATTTTATGACCTTGTTTGGATATTTTTTTTTTTGGTAAATCAACAAGTTTCTTGAAGTCCTACAGAGGTGGTGATGGGTGTTTTTTACACCAAAACCACACTTTTTTATTATTTAAAAGAACAGTTTTCACACTCCCCAAATAATTAAAAATTGTGTGTAAAAAAGCTAGTAACTCCTTGAATTAAGAAGATCTTTTTTACTCAGCCATATGCAGCATCTCATGAAGCATCAGCACCTGTCTGGAATGTGTTTGCACTGCTGACCCCTGCCATGTGAGGCTGGCTATCAGGACAGGGACTGTCTTGATACTCCCCCAACTTCCCTTCTTTCCAGTTTGCAGTTCTGGGGAGAATTGTTATTGATGAGGGGGAAATGGACAGGAATTCACTGAGCCTCACCTCTGCAGGATTAGAAAACCCTGCCCTTTTCTTCCATGCAATTGGAGGACTTCAAACTTTCCCTGCATGCTGGGACCTGCAGCCAGCAGCAGGGAAGTGTTGCTCCTTTAACTGCTATGGCTTTGGAGGGAGCAGCCTCTTGGCTAGAGAGCTTTGTTGCCCAGCTGTGCCTCCCCAAGGGAAGATTTCAGGTTGACCACATGTTTGAAAGAAGACAGGTTACAAAGTAATGTATATAATATGATTGAGGACGAAGGTGACCTATAGAAGTGTGGTAAGTAAGTGGTTTTCTCTGCTTGGCAAGTGAATTTTGATCCCAGCATAGCACTGTGCTGTGAGACGCTGCTATATCTGGGAAAGCCTTGTAGGAGGACAAAGAGCAGAAAGTGGCAAAAGGACAAAGGCTTCGAAACAAACACCCCCTCCCATTCATACTCCTGACAAATGGACAAAACAGTGGGGGACAGTTGCAAAATTATCTTTCTTTCTTAGAGTCACCTATGTTAGCCTGTTGAGTGCAGGGAAAATAGCAGCAGATCAATAGAGGTGTCTGTGCTGACACTTGCCCTTTAAGAAACACAAAAATGTTCATCAGCCTTCCCAATTAATGAGCCTTTCAGTGGGAAGAAATATATGGCTTTCTCTCTAAGTGTGTGCTTCTCTACCAATCTCTGGTTCTCTCCTAAAAGAAGAAGTGACAGGCTCTGGTCATTGTCAGAGGTCCAGGCTGTGATGATGACGACAGCATTCTGGCATAACTTTAGAGGAGTGCCCCTTTGGTCTGGCTGCAGGTCTGTGACAGCAGAAGCTGTCCCAACCTTCCCTGGAGGGCACCAGGTCTCCTCTGCTGCTCACTGAGTGCTTTCCACAATGCCACATCTCTGACACATACGTGATCCCCAGCCACAGATCCTCCTGTGTGGGCTGAGTCCCACTACATTCCTGAGCACTCCCTTGGGCAGAAGGGGTGAAAATGGAGGTCCTGCAGCAATTGACTTTAATGAAGTTATGTGTGTTGGCACTGATTGAAGACCTGGCCTGTGTGAAGGACGTCAATGTGCATAATCACACCAGAGTGTGATGCCTGTCATTTATCATTTGCACCAATCAGCCAGGAGTCCCCTTGCACCAGCACTGGGGAGATACAGAATAAAGTAATCCCTTTGCAAAGGGCTTACGATTTTGGAGTAAGCACAATCATTTAAGCCTTGAAGAAAAGGGAGAGAAATGACATTGCTCCCAGCCCTTGTTTCCTAGCAGGTTTGTATTCATCGACCGCGAACCTTAATACAGTTTTCACTCCACTTGTCAATTGTTCAGATAGATTTGGGGGCTGTCAACAAAATGTTACAGTTGAAAGGACCCAGCTAGAAATAATAGACTAAGAAACATCAAAGTAGTCATAATACTGTAAACCACCACAAAGGGATAACTTTGGTCCTTTCATATTTCATGGTCCCTTAAATGTCTTTTGAGAGCAACAAGAACCACCCTGTGCATCCCTGGGGGAGAAATGGGCACCCTGAAAAGCAGGTTCACCTGGTTTCACTCTGGCACCAGGTTTTGGACAAGGTGCCTTGCTTGCCTGGAGCCAGCAGGCTCCAGTTGGCCCACAGGCTGCTGTGAGTGATCAAATGATTTTGTCATGCTGGGCACAAAGGGACCTGATCCCCACATCTCTTCTGAATGCTGCCACAAAGTGGTGATGCATTCCTTACACAGCTGGAAGGAAGCTGAACACATGGGGAGCACATCAGGGCTAAGGCTCACCGTATTTATGTGGCTGGTTGTGACCTGGGTAACCTGGAGCACTTGCACAGCACATTTCACAGTCAGAGGGGTTTGTCAGAGCAGAGGGTTTCTCATCAGCTTGTTCATCTGAATGGTGTCCTGTGGGGACACCTGTGCCTTTGGGTTCCCAATGCAGCCATATCAGGGGAGCAATTCCCACCCCGGTCAAAACAAGTCTTACTGGGGCTTCACTGACACACCAGACCTTTTCCTAGAGGGTCCTGTTCATTTCCAAGAGAATTTGCTTCCAATGCCTGCATTCAAATGCTGCCTCAGCAGGACTGAGATTGTTCATCGTTCTGCATGGCTTTCGATCTGAGCAGGGAAGAGCTTGGCCACGGGGGATTTTAGTAAAATGAAGTGCCCTATATGTTTAACACAGCTGCAGCTCCTACCATAGCAAATCTACAACTCAGCAGGACCTGAAATTATAAACTTGGGTCTACTCTTAGGTAACAGTGGAGCAATAGTCACCCCCCTGTGTGCTTATGGGACCTTATCAGACACGTCCACTGGGGCACTGAAATTGTGCTGGGACCTGTTGTGCATTGACAGCCTTTTTTGTTTTTTTTTTTTTTTTTTTTTTTTTTTTTTTTTTTTTTTTTTTTTTTTTTATATGATAGATTAAAGTAGCAGGAGACAGTCACATAAAAGGGTTGAGCACAGAAGAATTCACTGACAAAATCTCCCCGTGCACTTAGGAATGCAGCTATTTCTTTCACCCATCCAGACAACCAGACGCTTTCAGATAATGACAGGGCTGTGTGTTTTTAACTTATCTCGTGGGGAGCGTGGTGCCGGGAGAGGCGAGCCTGCACCCAAGCGCTTCAGCCCCGGGGAGTGCCTGCCCCAGCCGGCAGCGCCCAGAGCACAGCCTTGCGGGAACATCCTCCCGGAGCCGGCACCCTCCTACTGCCTAAGCACAGCCTGAGACGGGAAAGATGACTGTGGGAAACGAGGTGATGCTATTCTGAAGAGGGATTTACCCTCATCAATGTCCCAGGCACCAGGAGCTCGGGAAAGATGCTTCCTGCAACCCCTCCAAGTACCTCACAAGGACCCTTGCAGAGCCAAAAATAAGTTGTCCGGAATTAAATTAATTTCTAAGCTTGCACCAGGAAGGCGGAGCTGCCTCACGAGTCAGGTCAGCAAGGACTTCTCACAAAACAGAAGCCACTTCATTAAAGTTGGTCATTCGCTAGTGTGATCAAGTAATTAAAGCCTCCTGATTGCTTTCTCCCCCTGCTGCTCCTTCTCTGCTACAAACATGAAAGCTCTGGTGTAGATGGAGTTGTTGACACTTTGTCAGTGAAAATTGGTAACTGTGCAAGAAAAATAAATGCTTTTATGGGGACTATAAATAGTTTTGCGTTGAAGCAAAAGTATTCTCCTTCCTAAAATAGATTCACCTTGCAAACAGCTTAAGGACAGCTTCCGTGCCAGAGGAATGCCTCCAAGTCCCCCCAGGAGACAGAAAGAGCCGCTTTTCCCCTGAAAGAGCAAACGACGGCAGAGGAGATCCCTCTACTGCCACCCCCTCGTCCTGTTCTCCCCTGCCTGGCAGCATTCCTCTGCGCTGGGGTGTCAGCCTGGGAGACCACACAGCATCCTTCGACTAGAAAGGGATCTTTATTCATCCAACTAACTTTTCCGATCATTTTTACTAAACGCTTGCAACATGCACGCTCATCGTGTGGGCGAAATGGATGAGGAAACTTTGGGGAGGGGGAGCGGCGACTTCCCACGGTCGCTCGGAGCAGTGGGATGCTTCTCCTTTGCTCCAAAGGGAATCATGCATTCAGACAATGCAAACATCCTCTCTGCCAGGGCTGCAGTGTGTTAACAGCACTCTCCCCTTGCTGCCAGAGCATAATTTCATTCCCTGTGGAGAATCACGGGTGGCGGTGGTGGGGACGGCGAGGAGATATCAGAAGAGAAAATATATTTTTAACTCACCTTGAGGCTGTGTGTTGGGTTGACGACGCAGACAAGTTGCCCGGCAGCTGAGAAAACCCTCTTTGCCTTGTAGTGCTGAAACCGCAGGTGAATAAGATCTAACACAGCCCCAAAGCACTGGGTGAAGAAAAGCATCACAACTTTTGGCGTTGCTGCTGCTGCTGCGGCTGCTGCTGCTGCTGCTGCTGCTGGCAGTGGGCAGGGGAAGCAGCCGGGGAGCTCTGGAGTCCTTGAGCCCGGGGCGGGAGTGTAGTCGGCGAGAGCTGCTCTCCGGCACAGCTTAGCATGCCTTCATATTCATCATCAAAATAAGACGGGAAGAGGCTTGCAGCAGCGGGGCGGCCAATGGAAAGGACAGGAATGTTATCCTTGAGGTCCGGAGACAGCCAATAACAAATGCCTTCCCTCCAGAAACTCCCTGATGAATTGAGCCTGGTGGAGAATGTATTATTGAACATTACCATACATCAGCACATTGCATTTATCTTGTGATTACAGCCAGTCATAGGTAAGGCTGTGGAGATATACAGGCAAAATTGATTGCTTAACATCTCCATTTATTAATTGCCTTAATTTAACAAAGGAGTGCTCAGATAGCAAAGCTAAATGTAAGGCGTAGGGAAGAACCCCCCAGTGAAACTGTTGGAAAGTAGCAAAAATAGGTTAAGCAGACTATGTTTTACTGAGGGGAAAAAATCAAATATGCAAAGAGAGTTACAGCTCCTTGCAGGGGTTAAGCAGAAGTAGAGCTTGCTACATAAATAGATTCTTACTGTCTGTGCATTCACAGGCTTCAATTTGGAATTTCACTGCTCTGAAGTTTTCTAAATTTTATATCCCGCTACTTCACAAGAGTCCCAGCACACAAATAACATTTTCTCCACCATTGAAAATAGGAGAGGTCAGGTCTCAGGTCTGGTGTAACTTGGAATAACTCCATTTAGAGACAGCAATGTTTTCCTGATTTACACTTGCTGGTGGATCAGGTCTGCTGGACACAAAACATGGTAATTACTGGATGCTGGAACTATGGGAGCATAAAAAGGCACAGAGCATGCTTCTAAAAATAATGAAATATGTGATGCATGAGAGCACACACACAGAGAGAAACTTGCACTGAGGGAAAAGTGGCTTTTAAATCAACAGAATAATTAAACATGCAGAAGGCTTTTCCTTGTCATTCATCTGCATATCAGTGAGCAGGAAATTACGAATTAGCCATTAGATGGTCCTAGGCATTAAAAAGGAATTAGGGAAGTGCAACAAAAATAAACATGCTTTTAGGTATTATTACCAGTGCGTATCTCTGTTGGTGGGCAGGGATCCTTCTCGAGCCATTGAGTCTCATTAAACTTGAGTCCCCGTAACCGGGTTTTCTGGGAGGTGACTGAGCTGAAGCAGCTAAGGGAATCAGAAAGCACATTAATTTCATGGGACAATCCTGTGTGATATGTTGCTCTGCTTGTTAATAAATCAAAGAGAGTTAATTTAATTAGCTCTCTGCCAGAACTTCCTATCAGGGTACTATTTAGGCTTGCTAGCTAAGTACTCAGATGGCTTATTTAGCCTTGGTAATCTTTTCCCCTTCAAAGCAGAACAGAGGAAAGTAGCTTTTCTTTCATTTTTTTTTCTTCTTTTTAAAAGTGAGCCCCATGCTGGGGGCGAGGCTGCTGCTGTGGACACAGCAGCCCCCATACAGCACAGGAATTAGCCTGGGACTGTATTGTCACAACTGCCTCTTCCTAAATCAATACTGCAATCCTGCCTCTGCCAGACTGCAGAGAGGCTGTGCAGGAAAAAAAAAAAAAAAAAAAGGGAAAAAAAAGAGAAAAATATCTGAGTAGATAAATAAGAGAAAATTGTGAATGCTGGAACAGCTGATTACACAACCCCCAAAAAAACATTAAGGATGGGAGGAATATGCATCCCTCAGCTCCTAGCATTTGGTTGTAATGAGAACAAGAGATAATTTTTGCAGTGCTGAGTGACACTTTGAGAATATTTTCAGACAGACTTGAGGACAAGTGAGTGAATCGATTTGCTTAAATGTATTCTTTCTCTCTCTGTTCCCAAAGTAACTGTGAGCCTCCAGCAAGTTATTATTTGTTTTTTCCTGATTTGTAGTTAGTAGCTGCACAAATCTTGATACCAGGAAATTTCAGTCTGCAGGTTACCAGTGCAAGTATTCTGCCATCAAAGCCATAAATGAGCTAAAGGTCCTTGCTATTTACACTGCTTATTGTCACCTGAATCCCTGGAGATCATTTATGTTTGACTATTGACTAAATGCCTAGGCTTGGGGAGCACCACCATATCCATGGGCAGCAGAGATGGACCCCCCCATCCCTGCAGTCCTGCTAACCTCAGGGCTCTGGGAATTCTGTGATCCACTCCCCTTGAGACCCAGCTACTTTCCAGGGTTGGAAAGAGAGGTATCCCTGATCCCACAGGCACATAGAATCATCTTCAGTCTGAAAATGTGCTTGTGCCTCTGGGCTGGTATATAAAAAGGGTTGTTGTTCTCCAAAAAGAAGACTATGTTCAAGGATGGGTGAGGGACCTCTGCAGTGCCCAGATCCCTGCGTGCAGCTGTGCCTGTCACACTTGCTATGTGTGACCTTCTGAGGAACATCTGTCTGCCACCAGTTTGTGGGGAAGGATGAAAATGAGCATTCAGTGCATCTGAAGGTAACTCGTGCTCAGTGCATGAGCCTACATGCATGGTGGCACATCCGGAAAATATTTTACTGCCCATATTTTGTCCAGACACCCCCACACAGCACCTGCTTACTGCATTTCAACACAGGACTTTTAGCACCTGCTTGATGAGGGACCCTGCACCCACCAAGACACAGCAGCTGGCTGTGCATGCAACTTCTCTTGCAAACAAAGGATCAACAGCATCATCTGGCATGTGGGTGTGGATCCAGTTCTTTCTTCTGCTTTCACATACAGAGGCTCTGGACCAGCATAACTCCATTAATTTGAGCTCATGGTGATTTCACCCAGGCTTGTGAATACAAGGTCTTCTGACCCACCTGGCCTCACACCATGGAGCTGCTCCTTAATGTCATTATTTAGCTGTATGGATGCAGCCAGAGAGAGGGGAAATGAGTTCACGTGCAAGGGGCGCTTGGTGACCCCCATTTCACTGCTGCTTGCAAATTTCTGGTGACTGCAGCTGTTACTTCCAAGATGGTTAATTCTGTAGCAGACAAGTGGGAAGTGGCAGAAGTCCATGAAGATAAACCTCCATTAGGATCCAGATTTTCCCAAATTAGCAGCTCAAGTGGCATCACTGTAACATGCACAGGATTATAATGCTGTAACCACTGAGCTGCTGCTGCAGCTGCATCAGGTTTGCATGGTAATAGTATCAGCCCGACACAAAAATCAACCACAGCAGCAATAGCTGTCCAGTTTTTCAGTCTGAGCTGCCAAGGTGAAAGGAGAATCCTCCTGGGAAACCTCAGGTGTCCAGTCACTGTGTGACTTGGCAGGATGATAACCTGGGAGATGGGTTGCTCTGTCCAAACCCAACATGAGATTTTGGGTTTCAGCTAGATTTGTTTGTTTTTCTGACTCGGCACTTTTGGGAGTCACTTTCCTGCATGCTGCTTTCTCTCTCCAACAGTCATAGGGGAAACCTAACCTGCCACATTACCAGCACTAGTCTTTATCCCAAAAACAGGAGGGCAGATGCTGCTCGGGGGTATCACGAGTGTCCATTCAGGCCCCTCACGAGCCTGCCCATGTTTCTGAGTGCTGGTAGGACTGCTGGCAAGGCTGGCTGATGCAGGACATCCTCTGGCTCCACACTTTGTGTTTCTCTGAGGAAGGAACCAGGCCAGTCTGACCTGCCACCTGGCTGGGACATCAGGCAGTTTTCTGCATCCTTTGGATCCAAACAATGTACAGAGCTTCATGTGCTCTCCTGGCTCTCACAGCAGGTTTCGAGAAGAGGTTTTTGCACTGTTTTCCCGTATTGTCTTTTAGGCAAGAACATACCAAAAGAGAGGTTTTTGCACTGTTATAATTTTCCCGTATTGTCTTTTAGGCAAGAACATACCAAAAGTCTCACTAGCCCAGTGCAATGACCCCTCCAGCCCAGCACCCTGTCCCCTGCAGTGGCTACAGGAGGTTTTGAATTGACCTGTGGACAGGGATCACTGCCTGCTGTCCATTCTCCCAGCATTCCCTAAGCACCTACAGCTGTCATCTTGGGGTATTGGAGGGCACATCCATAGGGAATCAGAGCCTTTTAGAAGCAGCAACAACTTTTACAGCTGGAACAAGAGTTGCAGCCCTCCAGCCTGGCCCCTGTAAAGCATGTGTCACTTCACACTGACTGCTTTGTGCTTTGATTGGAGCCCATTCTTTCCAAAAATTCTGGCTTTGAAGATTCCCATGAAGGAGACCAGTGGCATCTCCTGCTAAGTTCTTCCAAAGATTATGTATCTTCACTCTTCACCACTAGCATTTTTTATCATATTTTCAGTCTGAATTATTTTCCTACATGAGCTTCTGACTTCACAAAGTCATTGTGCTTTCCCTCACTGAGCTGGGTCAGTCTCTGCCATCACAGATTTTCTGCATGTGAAGACCCAGTTTTTGCCCAAAACCTCCTCCACCAAGCCCAACAGACAGGTAGTGTTCCCTTTGCAAAGCACCTTTCTTGCCCAAGGTCAGGTCACTCTTGCAGCTTCTCTGTGTATTTTGTCTACCTCCTCCTCCTCTTCCTCCCCCTTCTCCTCTCTTCTCAAACCCGATCTGCTTCTCACCATCAGTGAGTACAGAAGCAAAGAGACATCATGGTGCTCTGGTTACAAGCATGACCTGTCCCGTCTGTGGGGTCTCCATTCCACACCTCCACTTTGTTTTCAGAGCAGGTTTAACACCGGTGCAGCTACAAGGAAGCCAGAGCTGCCTGAGGGCATGGAGGAGAATCACAGATCTCCCCGAAAAATGCAGGCAGGTACCCTCCTCTCATCTTATTGGGTGACTACAGTGATGAGGCTATAAGCAGATTTTTTATTCTCTTATTTAATAATCATCTGTCTTTTTTCAAAAGCAAAGTGTTGTCAGAAGTTGTTTTCTTTATCTAAATTCTTGATCTGTGGTGAACTATTTTGCCA